TATATATATATATGTGTTTCGGCTTCCTGGCACGATGCTGGGTGCCACGGATGCATCCTTCTCGCGCCAGGCGGCCTTCGTGATGGGAGAGCCCCACCCCGTGGGCACGGCTTCTCGTCGTGGGGCACTGCCCGCCTTTGGGCCTGCAGCCTCCGTGCTGTCAGAGGGCCGCTCCCAGGTCCGAGCTCACAGTGGGCCACAGGCGTGAGGTCCTCTCGCTCCTGGCGGCTTGTCTCTCCAGCCCGCCCGCCCCATCCCGCTGGCCCCGGCGGTCCAGCCTGGCCAACCAAGCCAGCCCAGCCAGCCTGGCCACGCCATCCCAGCCGCCATCGGTGGAGTGGGCGCTCTTGTCGCCCCCCGCCGGCGCGCGCACTGGCAACGAGGACGCTGACAGCGACTCGGTCGCCGAGACCAGCGGTAGCCCGAATCCGAGGCAGCCTGTCTACAGCTCCATTCGAGAGTTGCGCCCCTCAGCAGCAGCACCAGCCGGCCCAGCCCCAACCCAGCCTCTCGGCTCGCTCTGTAAGCCGGCCCAGCGAGCCCGGCCAGCCCATGTGTGCAATTCAGACAGCCCGGCCAATCCAGTCACCACCGCTGACACCTGTCTGAAGCAGCCAGAGGGTGTTGTTTGGGGATCGTTTATCCTCTCCCGCCCCTCCTCCCTCCTACTTCCTCGCCCTCCCTCCCTCCCTCCCTCCACGCGGTCGATCCAGTCTTGCTGGCGTCTTCGCGTGGGGCCGCCCTACGATCACAAGTGGTGCTGGCGGAGTGAGCGCACGGGCAAAAGACTTCCTCGCACACCGAAGCAGCCAAACATACTGCAATGGTCAACGGAGGCGAGCGCGCGCGCGCCGCAGGGACATCTGTCACACCAGTGATCCTCCCGTTGCGCGGGCTGCATACAATCCAGCTTCAGATGCCCACGTCGCACAAGTTTCTGGAGGGGAAACACATCGTCGATCCCCAGGAACATATGGGAACAGATGGGAAGTGGTGGGGAAAATGACAATCCAGAAAATATAAGAGAGCATAGGGAATCCTTGGATTTGTGTGCATTTATTTGTGTGTCCCTGAGCCCCTTGAAAGTGGCTGGGCATGCAATGGGATGTGGACTTGTCTCTCGAGTGCTTGCTGGGCGCCCGCCTGGGAGCGGCGTCCGCGCAGTGCGCCACCCTGGCGGGGGGCAGGTCTCCAGTGGCCTCCTGCCCCGGGCAGCAGCCGCCTGGATCTTCGAGTCCAAAGTCGATTCCTCCCTTCGATTTGGCAGGTGGCTATACTCCATCGCCGAGGGCGCTCCCTCCAGACTGGACGAGCACTGTGCGACGTGGGCTCGGGCATTCTTCGATGGCCCAGCATGGAAGCAGGCGGCCCCAGCCTCGACAGAGCTGGGCTGGACGCTCTCGGGCTCGGGGCGCGCGATCCGTGATGCAGCTTCGAGGCGGGCAAATCCCTGGAGGTTGCCAGAGTCCAGCATCCACAGAATTCTCTTCGTGCGTGCGCACCTTGCACCTGGACGCGCGCGGTCGCGAGTGTCGCTGCATCTGGAGGCCGGAGGCAGCTGGTCACAGAAGTACTCTTCGCCGCGCACGCGCGGCCCCTCCTCTATCTCTCCCTGGGAGGGGGGGGGCACGGGACGACTTCGCCCAGGCCCCTGTCTGTGGGGCTTCCCTGGGGGGAGCTTCAGGGCCAGAGGGCGCTCTCGCGCGTTCGCCGCCGCCTCGTGCGGCTCACCCGCGTGGGGTGGGCGCGCTCGTGGGCCCTGCGCCACCCACAGCTCCACTTTCCACGTCCTCGCCGCCTGCGCGATGACTGGCCCGCACGGGCGGGTTCTCCGGCAGGCGCTGGGCAGGGAAGCGCCGGCCTTCCGGCAGTCCTGCGCCAAGACGGTCCTCTGCCTGCGGCCGGGCGCGGCAGGCTGTGCTGAGGCGGCCGCGCTGGGGGCCTTCCTGGGGCGGGAGGAGGCGGCCTTCTGGGCGGGGGCACGTGAGCCAGAACTCTTCCTTGCCTCCGGGCGTGACCCCTGCGTCCCTCCGGGCTCCCATCTGCGTGCTGCGTCGCTGTGACGAGGCGCTTGGCGAGCACGGGCGGGGGTCCCTGCCCGGGAGGCCTCCGAACGGAGTCTCTCCCCGGGGCTTTCCCCTCCCCGTGCTCCCCCCCGCGCATCTGCTCCTCGGGCCCAGGTGCCGTCGCCAGGCAGGGCTGCGTGGGGCCAGGAAGCGGGCCGGCGCGGGCCCGGGGAGCCAGGAGCCGCCCCCCCCCCGTCCTCCCCTGCCTCCCCCGCCCCCTGCGTGGGGGAGGCCGCCCTCCCCCTGGGTAGACGCATGCAGACGCCCGCCCCAGGCCCTGCAGCCCACTGTTGAAGGACCCGAGCCCGCGGGCCCATTATGTACGCCTCTCCGAGGATGGTCACCTCCCTCCCTCCCTCCCTCGCCCCTTCCTATGCCTCCTCCTCCTCCTCCTCCTCCTCCTCCTCCTCCTCCTCGTCCCTCCTCCTGGTCTCGTCCTTATCGTTCTCCACATCTCCTGGGGGTTAACTAGGAGGTTGCCTGCCTGCATTGGGGTACGTGGATTCCGATTGAACGAGTGGCGCCTGGTGTGGCGCCTGCGCGGCCGTCTGTTGCACTTGGCCCCGTACAGGGTTCGCACTGCTAGTGCCGACTTCCCCGAATCGTGGGTTAATGTAGATGAGCAGGTGATCGTTTTCTGATTCATTGTTTTACCGATCGGCGCGGGCCCTCGCACCCCCCCCCCCCTCCCGCCCCCTGCAGTAGATCTTTGCTGTTTGGGGCGCCTGTTTCGAGCAGGTGGAGCCCCTACTCCCATAGGACACTGTTGCAATCAGTCGCACTCAGCAGAGGTCTGGAGCCAGACCCCCCCTCCCCTCCCCCTCCCTCCCGCCCAGTGTCGAAACGCCGAATCAGACAAACGCTCACCAATTCTTTTAGTGGGGGGTGTCGTTTCGGGCAACGCTGTGCTCTGAGGGTCTTGGGCTGTGATTTGACAGCTTCAAGTGGCGCATGCCATGTCTCGTCCCAGAGCTCTGTTTACCAGCTCCTTATTGCCAAGCCTTCCTCGAGCCGTCAGCTGGCAGCAGGTGTTGCATACCGTGGGTGGCTGTCGCTGGCAGAGCTGTGGCACGCGAGAAGCCCGAGGGAGGGGCGCTCGCCTTCGCAGGTCTGTGCTAGTGTTTGGGGTGGATGGGCGCGCGAGCTGCTGGCAACCACACTTCGCGCATGCCCCTGGCACGCATGCTGCATTCCTGGTCTCGTTCGCCTGCGAGCCTACAGTTCTCAGTCCCCAGCGCTCGTTCAGATCCTCCTCCTTTTTGCCATGCCTCCCGGCTGCCCTTTCTGACCACCCCCATGATTCCCCTTTGCTGCTGTTGCTTATCCTCATTATGTTCGAGAACTTGCTCCTTAATCCCGAGCCTCTGCCCCCAGCCTCGTTACCCTCTCCTACTTCGCCTCATGTTGGTACGTAGTGCCCATCCTGCTTCCCCCATTCCTGATGAGCCTCGTTCTCCGTGGCCTGAAACTGTTTCGCGTTTGAATCTGGATCTCTCTCCTATTCCTCCTCCTGCACCTCCTCCACCCCGTCGCCCCCTCCCCATCATCCTGCTTATCCTCCCTCTCCTCTGCTCTTCTCGCCTCCCTCCTCTCATGACCTCCCTCCTCCTACTCGACCTCCTCTTCCTTCTCCACCTCCTCCTCCACCTCCTCCTCCACCTCCTCCTCCTCCTCTTCCGCTTCCTATTCCTCCCCCCCCTCTCCTGTCATATCGTCCTCCTGCTCCGCCTCCCTTCGTATCTCCTTCCCAGCCTGCAGCTTCCCCTCCTCTCCCCTGCCCTCTTCCCAGCTCTCTTCTGGCGCCCCCGTCCTGGGGGCAGCGAAGCCCCGCTGCTGCTCCTGCTCCTTCGGGCGGAGGGCAAGGGGGAGCCTGGCATCGCTCGGACGTGTGCACTGTTTCTCAGCGAGGGCCATCGAGGAGCAGCTTAGGCCATCTTGCGGACAAAACCATGCACAGGAGGAGGAGGAGGAGGAGGAGGAGGAGGAGGAGGAGGAGGAATGGGCGTCCGCGCGATGGCGAGGGAGGGGGCGGGGGCCATAAGCGTGGGGGGAGCCCAGGGCTGCAGCGGAACAGGCGGCCCCCCACAGAAGCTGCCCCTGAGTCCCCTGAGCTGCCGCCGCGGGCCCCATCAAGACGCGCACGGAGGGTGCACACCGCTTCTCCCCCTGCCTGCCTGCCACCCGGCCAGCGAGAACACCCGGCTCGTTCCCCTCGCCCTCCGTGGGCATCGCTCGCACGTGTGTATTCTTTTCTCGGCGACGAGGGCCCGCGGGCCCATGCGGATGTGCACGGAAGGTGCCCACCTCCTCCCCCCTGCCGGCCTGCCACCCGGCCCACGAGAGTACCCGACTCGTCCCCCTCGCCCTCCGCGGCGTCGCTCGGACGTGTGCTTCTCTGTTTTCCCGGCGAGGGCCCTCGAGGAGCATCCCGGCTCACCTCACGAGAGGACAGGCGCGCGCGACATCGAACACGAGGTGCACGGGGGCCGGGGCGCCCGAGGGATGGCGAGTTCGTTCCCCGTCGCTGTTCCCCCTCTCTCATCGGCAGCGTGCGGGGGGGGGGGAGATGAGAAGGAGAAGGCCAGCTCAGAAGGCTCGGAAGCCCCCCAGCCTTCTGACCGAGAAGCTCTCTTCTGGGCCTCCCCTGACGACACAGAAAACCCATCAGAAGTCCCGCCGCCCTCTGCGAAGCCCCGCCGCCTTCTGAGAAGTTCCCACTATCACCCCTCACTCGCCGCCGATCGCAGGGGTCTGCTGCCGCCTCCAGCTCTGGACACCAATGGGGCAGGGGATGGGCAACAGGCCTGGCCTGCAGAGGCCAGGCGCCCATCCATGGCCCCACTCCTCCTCCTCCTCCTCCTCCTTCTCCTCCTCCTCCTCCTCCTCCTCCTCCTGTTCCTCCGCCCCCCCCTCCCCCGCCGCCGCCCCCCGCAGCGGCTCGGGCAGCGACAGCGAGTCGTCCGGGTCGAAGGACAGCTCCAGCGACGACTCGGACCCCGGCCTCCGCTCGCCCATCGTCGTCATCATGGGCTCGCGCCCCGCCCCCCCCCCCCTTGCCCCGCCCGCGCTGCCCCCCGCCGCCCCCCCTCTCCTCCTCCCTTCCTTGCTTTCGACCGCATCCCGCCGTTTTTTCCCTCCTCCTTCCTCCGAGGCCCTGCAGAGTTGCTTCTCCTCCTCCTCCTCCCCTCTCCTCCTCCTCCCTCCTCCTCCTCCTCCTCCTCCCCCTCCTCCTTCCCCTTCTCTGCCTTCAACCATCTCTCCTCCCTCTTCGCTCCTCCTCTCCTCCTCCTCCTCCTCGTCATCCTCCTTCTCCTCCTCCTCCTCCTCCTCCTCCTCCTATTCCGACTCCTGTCCTTATTCTTTATTCGAGTATACTCTTACTCCCCCCTCTGGCCGTCCGATAGCGGGCCCTCCCATCCTAACTATAACAATCAATCCAAAGTCGTCGTTGTTTCTCTCAACATGACCTTTCGTGTCGTCAACGATGCGAAATGCGTAGCAGGAATAGGACGCGGCCCACATCACGCGCGGCCGTCAATCCGGGCCCTCCCATCGTGATTATAACAATTCAATACGAAGTCCCCGTTTTTCCTCTCAACATGGCCTGCCTTGTCCTCGACGATGCGAAATGCGTAGCAGGAATGGGACGCGGCGCACATCGCGCGCGGACGTCTGGGGCAACCCCAAGCGGGAGGGGCCATCCTACGTGTCAAAAACCGTACAAAGCCGGCATTGTTTTTCTCTGTGGGGATTTGTTTTGTCGTCGGTTTTGCGAAATGCGTGGCAGGAAGGGGGCGCGGTGCACGTCGCGCCCGACAGGGCGAAATGTCGCTCTCGCTTTGGCGCCGCGCGCATGTTTTCTGACAGTTGCGCTCCCGCTAAGGCGCGGCGCACATTTTTCGCTCGCCAATTCGTCGAGCGCCTAGGGCCCCCCTGGGGCCTCCCAGGGTCTCCTGGGACATCCTGGGGCTTCCCGGGGCTTTCCCAGGGCTTCGTGGATCCTCCTGGAGCCTCCTGAGGCATCGCTTCCTGAAGCCTCCTGGAATTACCTGGGGCTTCCTGGGCACTCCTGAAGCCTCCTGAGGCTTTCTGGGGGTCGCTAGGGCTTCTCCTGGGGCCTTCTGAGGCTTTCTGGGGCCTCCTCTGCTCGTACTGAAATGCCAGCGCAGTCTTTGAGACGCGCCATGGATTTCCCATCGGTAACCGCCGTCGCGGCTGCATCAGCTGTGGCAAACCACCTTGCTGATCTGATTTCGGTCCCTAGTTTCGCCAGCACTGTTTCTTGTGTTGTGGGAGGGCGGGTGGGAATGGGCATGCCATGCTTGACTCGCTCGAGCTGGCTAGCTTGTCTCCTACTCGTACTCCCATCCTTATTTCTTATTGGAATATACTCCTACTCCCCCCTCAGGCCGGCCATTAGGGGCCGCATCCGGGGGGTCCCATCCTAACCTGTAAAAAACAATACAGAATCAAAATTTTTCTTTTTTTTTGTCCTCTCGACATGGACGTCCTGTCGTCCAAGGCGATAATCCATTGCAAAAAATACCACAAAGAGCACACGTACGCGTTCATGTCATAATCCTACCGAACACCGTGTGTTTGCAAGCATTTCAACATAAAAACATCAAAAACCCAATGCTTTTTTTCACAAAAATTGTACAAATTTCCCGCCCGGGCTCTCTTGCTGAAATCATAGGAAAACCATAGGAATCTTAAGAATTCTGTCAAATCCAGCGATTTCACGTCATCGCGCGGTGCACTCGCGATGCTCTGTCATGCACCCAGGCCGCGAATCCTGTGCAAAAAAATACCACAAAGAGCACACTCGCGCGTTCATGTCAGAATCCTACCGAACACCGTGTGTTTGCAAGCATTTCAACATAAAAACATCAAAAACCCAATGCTTTTTCACAAAAATGCTTTGGGGTGTCCTGTCAGACCGTCGGGCTTCCTCCGGCCACCTCTGGCTTCCTGCGGTGTACCGGGCCATTCTCGACTCGTCTGGCAATGCGTGCGCGGCATTCAACACGCGCTCGCCAGTTCCCGTCGGCAACCGCCATCGCGGCCGCATCAGCTGTACCAAACCGGCTGGCCGGTGTGACTTCGGCCCCCAGTTGTGCCAGCTTTGCTTCTTATGTTGTGGGAGGGCGGGTGGGACTGGGCATGCCATGCTTGACTCGCTCGAGCTGGCTAGCTTGACTCCTACTCCTACTCCTACTCCTGCGTCTACTCCTAGCTCCTCCTACTCCTCCTACTCCTCTCTTCTCATTGGACCGCACCCCGCATCCCGCAAGCGGTCCCCCGGCAGCCCCCCCCCCGGGCAGACCCGGCGGAGCAGCCGCACTAAGCGACACGTGCGAGCTCTGCGGTCTGCCAACGACTCGGGCGCGCCTCTCGATCGGCCGATGTTCCACCACCATTGCCATGGGTAGGGCGGGGCAGGAGGGAATGATGGGGAGGATCTCCTCCTCCTCCTCCTCCTCCTCCTCCTCCTCCTCCTCCTCCCCTTCCTACCGCGCGCGCCCGCCTGTCGCAGGAGATGTGTCTTCCCCCCCTGACTTTTCGACGAAAGAGGAAGCCACTAAGAAAAGGAGGGAAGCCCTGGGATACACCCCAAGGGGGCTATTCGGACGCACCCCTATCGAGGATGAACGCCCCCCATCGTATATCACAGGGTTGGGCCCCAAATGTTGGGTCCATCTCGAAGGCGCCACGAAGCCTGGTATAGGAGTCGACATATCTCCCGTTATGTCGGTGCGCGGGTCTGGTTCTGGTTTGAAGGTCGTGTCGTGCTCGCAGGGTTTTGCTTGCGCTTCGTATCGCCAGTCCTGCTAACCCTCCCCGCACCTCTCCCATCCCTTCACTCCCCTCCTCCTCCTCCGGTCTCCTCTCCTTCCCTTTTCCGCTCTATGATCCCCTCCGCCCTCCTTACCTTGAGGCGGCTAGATGCAATCGTGCATCGCTGCTCTTGCAGTGCAGCGTGAAGCGACTGAGGAAGCTAAGTGCAAAGTGCACTCGCCTCAATCCAGCTCGAGTGGTCCATCGCAAGGGTCCCTCGTCGGAGCCCTGTGAGAGTACATATTTGAAGCAAGTAACCTTGTGCAGAAAGATCTAGACACTGCGTTCCATGGTGTGCGATTGGAGCACGAATGCCATCATCCATTGGTCGCAAAGGCGCAGGCTCAAAGTGTATGACCCTTGTCGTAACGTGCCTATTGAACACGTATCCTTCAGTAGTTGTCCAGTATATATACACGCATACACATGAACATACACACACGCACACACGTGGCCAGCGCAATTGGATACGAACACCAAGCTCTCCGTGTGCACATGTTCCATTTGAAATTAGTCGTCCGCGCGCAAGGCCACCATGCCATGGCAAGCTCTACTTGTGTTGCCCCCCCCCTTTCGGGACATACCTCGAGCTTGTAATACGTTCATGCCCGTCTTCGCCGTCTGTCTTTGGACATTGACGACAGGTGAGAAGCACGTGTCAGCCAGCCTGGCGGGCAAGGGTAGTATCCACCAGCTTGTCTGACCATAAAGCAGATTACTATGTCGGGTGCGTGTTGACGCGCCCATCCTCGCCACCGCGCAGCAATGTCACATGCCATTTGCGGTCGCCAGGCCACGTGGACACCGGAAAGACCAAACTGCTGGACAAGATCCGCAGGACCTTTCGGGTTTCCCTGCTTCACCAGCCTGATCGTCGAAAGGCTTTGCACCGCGAGCGACTGCCAGTTCACAGCGGTAGTGTGAGCTCTTGCTCATGTGATCGGTCATTTCGAGGTGCCTGCATTGATGTGTAGAGCAACGTGTTCCCACAACACGCGTTGGACTTCGTGATAAGACCGGAGTCATCATTCAGAGTTGTCGGTTCCCAGGCGATTGTATTGATGGTTTCATATACCGCATGGTGGTACCAGGATTGCTCCCCCTTGTATTTTACATATGCAGAGCGCCCGAGACGGCTGAAGAGGCCCCCGAGATCGCTCCAAGATGGCATAACAGGGCCCCAAGACGAGCCCAGGACGGCCCCAGAGGGACCCAAAGCGGCCCCAAGGCGCTCCAAGAGGGCTCCCGGAGGGGCTCCAGGCGGCCCAAGCGGGCCCCAAGACAGCGCAACTGGGCTCCGTAGCCATTTTGGCTCAAGCCGCGCTCGAGCCCGCAAGCGCTAGAAACCGCAGCCCGCTCAGCCCCCCGCCATCCACTCGCGCGTCCGGCAGCCGCGGCGGAAGCGATGATCTACATCTTCCAAGGCTGCCAGAGCATCTTCAGCCTGCCCGGGCTCTGCTGCAAGGGGTGCGCGGAGCTCTGCCGGCAGATCAATTGCAAGCCGCTGCAGGAGTGCTGCCAGGGCTGCGGCGCCTTCGTGGTTCACTTCTTCGAGAGGCCTCTGAGCACCTTCGTGATCTTCGCCTTCGTCGCCTCCCCCGCGCTGCTGTACAGCACCTACCTGGCCCTCGACGAGGACAAGGCCGAGGCCTGCGACTTTAGCGGCCCCGTGGACGGCACGACGTACGCTGGTATCCAGGGCCTGTTTGCGCTGATCTTCCTGGTCTTCGGGGTGTACGCGCAGCGCGCGGTCTGGCGACAGATGATGGAAGACCTGAAGGAATCGCCCGACACGAAGGTGGACGACGTCCCGTCGAAGAACCCGGACGATGAGCAGATGGTGAGGATCAAGAAAGAGGTGGTGTTTGCGGCGTTCAAAAAAGTCTTCCTCGAGGACTTCTTCGTGCTGCTCATCTTCGTCATGCTCGTTGGCAACACCGTTCTCTCGGGCCTGGTCCAGACGACGGCGGAATGCACCTTCCCCCCGGAGCCGTACGCGACGAGCCTGCCGAAGGTGATGCTGGGCTGCTGCACGCTCTACACGCTGCTCTACTTCTGCTGCACCTGCTGCGCTGACAAGGTGACCATCGAGAAGAAGGAGCTGGACGCGCTGACCGGCCAGACGGCGCTATCCCAAAATGACAGCCTGGAGTGAAGGGCCCGCGGGAGCGACGCTCATTGGCGCGAGCGCATTGCCGCTGGACCAGAGCGTCCACGCGGGTGTTTCAAGCGCAAGAGACTCTTCCCGCCCCCCTCGCCTTTGCTGCACTCCTCGCCATCTGGGAGTCTCTCTCTCCCCGCCCCCTCCGGTGTGCCTCCTCGCTGTTCTTCCACTTCTCCGCTTTCGCCCTCCTGCTGGCCGCGCACTCTGCGACATAGTCAGCAGCAACAAAGAGCGCGGCCAACGTTGCCAGGGGGCCTGCGGTGCCTGGCCTGCATACCGGGGGCTCCCGGTTGGCTGCAGGGGATTCGTTGTATAGTCGGATAGAACGCAGAGGAGGCCCCTTTGGAGACCCCCCCCGCAGCGGCCGCACGCGGCCGGCAGCGCAGCGTGCACCGTAATGGCGGCTGCGCCGCCCTGGCGGGACCGGCGCGAGGCCGTCGGCCCGCCGTGCTGTCTTCGGCACCCTGGCCGCGCGGGGCAGCAGGCGACGGGCAAGAAAAAAAGAAAAGAAGACAGCGCAACTGGGCCGCGGACCGCCGCAGAACAGCCCCAAGAGGCCACCAATTTTGCCCTGAGGGACCAAGACAGCCCCAGAGGTCCCCAAGACGGCCCAGGAGGCCTCCAAGACAGCCTGAAAACAGTCCCAAGAGACCCCGAAGAGGGCCCACTCGGGACCCTTCAGAAAATCTACACATGTCTCTCTCGCTCTCTCTCTCTCTCTATTCTTTCTCTCTCTCTCTCTCTCTCTCTCTCTCTATATATATATATAGATGCTTGGTAGCCACCCCCCCACGGGGACAGCATCTTCACAAATGCAAGCTCGAGAGCTTTTTACGAAGTTGATTCAGACGTTGCTTGTGATGTTGATGTAGTGTTGTTGCAAGGGCGTCGGCAATGGAACACAAACAGAGCACTGTACAATTAAAATGTGGATAAGTGCTGATGTAGTAGATGTTGGTTTAGATGTTGATGTAGATGTCGACGCTGGCAGTGACGAAGTTGCAAATGTAGCTGCTGATGATGCAGACGTAGAGTATTCTTGTCGACTTTCGGTGAATTTGACACCGACTCCTTTCCAAATTTCTATTATTGATTATGATCGGTTCCGATTGCTTCACTCTGATGAAAATGATCCCAAGTGAATCCTATTGATTTCTATGGATTCCCATTGGTTACTACTGATTCCTATTGGTTGCTAGTGATTCCTGCTGGTTCTTCTTAATTTCCTTTGATTCGTATATATTCCTATTGATTCCTACTTCTTCGCATTGATTCCTGATGATTCCTATCGGTTCCAATCGATTGCGATTGATTCCCGTTGATTCCTCTTGATTCCGAGTTGTGCCGAGCAATTTCTAGTCATTCCTGATAATTGATATTAATTCCTATTGGTCTCTAGCGATTCTCATCGATTCCTGTTGATTCGTATTTGTTCCTATGGAGTCCGAATGGTTCCGATTGATTCCGACGGATTCTGATGCATTCTTTTTGTTCCCAACCATCCTGTGGTGTTGGGTCCTCGTTTTGAAGAGACGGTACCCCGCGTTCCTCTCCTCTCCTCTCCTCTCCTCCTCTTCCCCCTCCTCCCTCGTGCCCGCGCCCGCATGCGTCAGCCACACCCATTTCGGCACACCCCTCACACGTTTCGTGGCTGCATAGGGAGCTCCACCGGAGGCCCCAGTGCCCGCGCCCGCATGCGTCACCCACACCCATTTCGGCACACCCCTCACACGTTTCGTGGCTCCATAGGGAGCTCCACCGAAGGCCCCAGTGCCCGCACCCGCATGCGTCACCCACACCCATTTCGGCACACCCCTCACACGTTTCGTGGCTCCATAGGGAGCTCCACCGAAGGCCCAGTGCCCGCGCCCGCATGCGTCACCCACACCCATTTCGGCACACCCCTCACACGTTTCGTGGCTCCATAGGGAGCTCCAACGAAGGCCCCAGTGCCCGCGGCCGCATGCGTCCCCCACACCCATTTCGGCACACCCCTCACACGTTTCGTGGCTCCATAGGGAGCTCCACCGAAGGCCCCAGTGCCCGCGCCCGCATGCGTCACCCACACCCATTTCGGCACACCCCTCACACGTTTCGTGGCTCCATAGGGAGCTCCACCGAAGGCCCCAGTGCCCGCGCCCGCATGCGTCACCCACACCCATTTCGGCACACCCCTCACACGTTTCGTGGCTCCATAGGGAGCTCCACCGAAGGCCCCAGTGCCCGCGGCCGCATGCGTCACCCACACCCATTTCGGCACACCCCTCACACGTTTCGTGGCTCCATAGGGAGCTCCACCGAAG